AGGGAAGGGATTGGAGAGTCGCATCGGAGAGAGGCTTGTAAGCTAGACCTGGCAATACAAAGAGAAGCGCAAAAGAGAGCGAGAAGAGGGCTCTGAGGTTAGTGAAAGCCATGGTTACGGCGCTTTTCTTTGCGGTGGTTGTGTTTCATGACATTGTAAAAGAAAGAAAAGCCTTGACGGTGAAATATGAAGCAAGTTGCACAAGTGATGGTGCAATTGGTGGTCAAATGAAGCCAGATTGAAGATCGCTCGGCTAAAAAAATCAAGCGCGACAAACGCGGGATCACCCTTTTCTTAGATTTTCTAAACGACGGCGACTTCAATGAGCTTCGAAGGTCGACACACGGGTATATTTCTTTAAGAAGAATCCTTGACAAGCTGTTAGATGGCTTTCCCGATTACGTGGTACTCATTGAATACCCCATTGGATTAGCCCTCCCATCCAATTGGCCTTTTAAGCATTTTACAATCGCATAATGCTACGGCTCATTACCTCCCACGCACAGCTTCGCACTTCGGCTGTGCCGCGATGGATAAGGAAAGATCTGTATAATAGGCTCCCAATCCGCTGCAAGTCCACTCCTGCTGCTCCGAACAAGATATCTGGCTCCGCGAAACGAACGAATCCTCCGAAAGCCTCTCCGCTATCCCCTCCACGTACCACTCCGAAGCCCCGAGGGTCACGAACAGGGAAAGGTTCGGATGCCCCCTAAGCTTATATACACACATTATACTGATTGTTTCGGTGTAGAACCGCCACATCGTATCCTGATATATCATGGAGGCACTGGGAGGACTGTTTTTATTGGTGTGATGAGGATTACCACCATCTTCGTCTTCGGGGTTTCGTGTCTGGTTGTTGCACCTGCCTTTTTTGCCGCAGATTATCCGTGGTACACGGCTCCAGCCAGTCAGTCTATATCCTCCTCGCATTAGGACCTTGAAATGCTGACCCTTCCTTAGTTGTCGCTTTCGGTGCTATCCCTATGCTTTTCGTCGCATATACAGCTTCCCCCTTCGTCAACTATGTTCATCTTGCAACCCCAGCATTTGCTCGAAGATCGAGGGAGGAAATCCTCAAATATGCAAAGAATCTTCCTCCGACTTCCACTTTATATATCAACACTATGAAGTTCACGACGATCCCAAGGCGGACCGAAGTGCGCTTATCTGACCTGGCCCCGGGCCAAGCAGCTTTGAGACCTGTTAACTTGATCAATACCAATCCGGAGAAGCAGGCTTGGTGGAAGGGGAAGGCTATTACAAAGTTCTATGCCTCTGGAAAGAGCAAAAGCACGAAGGCGACATCAACATTTTATCCCGAAGTGTGGGATTATGTCTACGGAAGCATAAGAAAAAACAGATCTCCCCCAAGTAAAATCTTCAAAGGAAAATGAAAGGCGTTGATATATATACCATTTTGTCTGTTAAGTATAGTCCAGTTAGCCCGGTGTTTTGGTGATCTATCATTGCATACAAATTTAGGGGGGTGTTCTCACTACTCGGCGTTCAAGACCAAAACACAACTTTTACTTCAACTCATCACTTCACCCTCCTGCGACAGTACGTGTCATTCACTGTTTTTATTACCCTTCACTGAGGCAGAGTCCCACAGTCAAGATCATAACATAAATAGACCCAGATCCTCTTCTTTTTTCCTTTCGTCTCAAGCATCTTCCTTCCAACTCACCTTCTACTTTCTCTATCCTTCATCCAACTTCCAGCAACCTGCACACGCTCCCAATTCTTCATCACAAACTCCCTTATAAGCCTCTCTTAGCTTATCTTTTCTGACGAAATGGCGTCCTTGACTGATCGTGAGCAGCAGCTCATTGCTTTGGGCCTACAATGCTATGATGCTCAACCAAAGGTATGCTCAACTCCCACCCCCAACAGCTCTCACCAAATTCCCCTCCTTTATTACTCAAAGCTTGCACTTGACTTGACCTCAGTTACTAGAGGTAAAATCATGGCATACTTCTCGAGCTGACCTACACCCAAAACTTCATTTATACTTTATATCTAACGTTTCTTTAGATTGACTATGCCAGGCTCGCTGAGCTCTCCGGGCTTAAGAATGCGTCCACCGCATCCGTAATGTACGGAAACGCTAAGCGCAAGCTCTTGGGGATGACCCCCAGCAAGAATGGCGAAGGCGCCGACACTCCGAATGGGGCTACCACCACCCCGAAGAAGAAGGCTACTCCTCGCAAGCGCAAGCCTGCAACCCCTAAGGGCGGTGCGGAATCCCCTGGTGAGAATGGCGATGGAGATGCCACCGAGAGTACTCCAAAGAAGCGTGCCCGCAAAACTCCTGCCAAGAAGGGCGCCAAATCCGCTGCTTTTGCTGAGGAGGAGAAGTCCGACGCCGAACCTGCTGCCGAAGGGTGAGTTTGACTATTTCTCACATTTTTATCTCCGTTCCCTTCGTTTGCTATATATTGCCCCATTCACCCGTGCTTCTGAAGATTACTAACTCCCGGACTTTTAAAGTCTCACTATCATCAAGTACGAGCCTACAGAGGCTGCTGAGCCCCAAGCGCCCAAGATCGAGGAGACCGATGGCCAGGAGGTCAAGATAGAGGCTCAGGAATAAGAACGAGACGCCATACACCCACATATTCTATGTTTGCGGAGGATTCTACAAAGCAAATAGGGGGAAAGCAGGAGCCTTACTCTGGATGGTCTTCGCTTATCTTTAAGACGGCAAAGTTTTCACTCGCATCCCTCACTTGTCTTCTACCCTACTGTTATCTCTGCATGGATTGGTGCTTCTTCTTCCCCGTTCTTTCCTTTGTTTTTGAGACGAGAGAGTCCTGTTTTTCCGGCCACTTCTCACTCTTGATATTTCTCTCCAGTGGCTGTTTTTCTCCTACTTTGCTCTACAATCCTTGGACCTGAATTCCCCTTTCCTTTACCCTTCTCGGCGTCTTTCTAAGGAACGCAAAGAGCATCTTTTGTTTTCAAGGAAAGGGGGTAATACCTGGTGAACTGCTTCTTGCGCTTTTTGCTACTATATAGTGCATCTAGGAGCTAGGATATCCTAATTCAGGCCAGATCAAGATTTCATATCCCACTTTATCGCTTTATTTCTAACGTGGGCCCTACTTCAGAGTGAAACATTGTTCAAGGGAGATGATATATTTGCAGATTCCATCTGAGTGTTCAATCATAATGCATGAACTGAGAAGTACATGACGTACCGCTCAGCCTTCCAGCCCCGAATGCGCCATTGTCTCGTGGTGAGTCTAATTACTAGAACTGGGCTTAACGGCGTATATTTTATAAGAACCTGTTTAAAAACCATGGAGTTAGGAACTACGCGCAAGAACTGCGTGCGCGGGATGTACTAAGACGGAAACTTACCGGTCCATTCATTAAAGTCCAAATTCGACAATTTTGACGGTTGGCTCGTCCCACATGGTTCTGGCATCTTAGCACCGCAGCAAGAGCCTGTAGGTGCTCCTAAGGCATTTGGATCTTCTAGAGCTGATTTATAAAGGTTGAGATCGCTGTTTGTGTCGACGATTAGGATTCCTAGGGGGTGTTAGCCTTTCCCCAGAACTCAGGACTTCTAGGCACTTATTTCAGGAAGCATGGTAAAAAATACCTTCAAATCCAGCATCCTTCAGGTATTTATCATAAGCCCCAACCTGACTAGCTCCAGCAATACATCCAACATAGAGCGATAAATCCTTCGTCACTTCTTCGGGAAGCTCCTTTCTCGCAAGGATATCGCTAACGGCAACTCTTCCGCCAGGTTTGAGCAGGCGGAACATCTCATGGAAGACAGTTGGCTTCTCCGGTTCTGGAACCAGGTTTACGACACAGTTACTGATAATGCAGTCTACTGATGCCTCTGGTAGTGGGACCGAGGTGATAGATGCTTCGATAAAGGAGACGTTTGAGGCCTTGGACTTCTCTGCGTTGCGACGTGCTAGGTCCAACATGTCCTAGAAGGATGTTAGTTTATTGTATCAGCCAGTATAATTTGTTGGGACCTATTTACCTTGGTCATGTCAATACCAATCGCCTTCCCGGTAGGGCCGACTTTACTCCCAGCGAGTAAAACATCTATTCCACCACCACTCCCTAGATCGACGACTGTCTCTCCCTGCAAATGAAATTTCGGTTAGTATATTGTTCCTTGATATTGCTAGCGCTTACTAGGGGCAAGAGATACACAAACCTCTCTCAGGCCCGCTGTTGCCAATGGGTTTCCACAGCTAACTCCTAGATTTGCACCCTCTGGGATAGATCGAAGGTCTTCTAGGTTATATCCGAATGCAGTGGCAACTTGCTCTTCGTAGTTCTCCTTAGAGCCAATGCTAGGGCTGCCGCTGGCGTTACGGTCTGCGGCCGCGAGGCCACCATATCGCTCCTGTACAAGACGGTAGGTCTCATCTGAATTCATATCGAAAGCTTAAGTTCTAGTTGATAGGGAACTATAGAAAGTTGCTACTAGAAACAAACAAAAGGTTTTAGTAGCGATGTTTCGGAGTGTAGGACTGGAATATTGTAGGAAAGATTGCTTGAATATGGTTCAAACATATGAGTAGGTTCTTCGCAGGAACTTAATATAAACTCCAGAGTTTATACTCCGCTATCCATTCAGGCCAAAGGTCAAACGCCATTTCATAGTATGTCACCAAGATACTTTGATTGGTGGAGCAGACTGTGACCGATGAGACGTTGAACCTTGCTCGGGTAACTCTTTCGTCCGTCTGGGAGAGAAATGTTAATCTATGTCTGGCCGTTGATGGAGATCGGACGACGAAGACTGGAGATTTTGATATCCTGGAAGTCGTCCTGTCTGCCACATAGCCAATGGCTGTTGATCAGTGACATCGTCGACATCATATGTCATTATTTTAAGGTTCGGATCAGATATGATTAAGCTTAATCCTAAAAATATCTTTATCGATAAGAATCTTCGAGGGAAGAGAGAGAGTTTGTTTCCAGAGTCCAAAAAAATACTGACAAAAAATGCAAAAAAGTGATGGACACTGCGCGAATCGAACGCGCGACCCCCTCAAATTTCACATTTTCAAGGACGAACCTTTTGAATAGTTTTCGCAGGGCGAAACGTGCAAATGAGGTATTATACCACTAAACCAAGCGCCCATGGATGTCTTCAACTCAGAAGGAGCACTCGTTTAAGAAGCTATTACGGATTGATGGCAACTATCGAAGAGACCACCACGACATGGCACCATTCCTATGAATCGACCGTACCAACTATCGTTCTGTCGAACAGGAATATAAGGGATATGAATTTCCGTATTATTGATCTGTGTTAGGGCCAGAGCGTAACACTATTTTATTGCCAGAAGCTTTCACCCACGTACGAACGTTAATCGTGTGGTGGTAACGGTTCAAACGGTTGGTGCTTATATATACCGGTAAAATAGTAGTAGGATCGATTGGAACATTATTATGATAATATATTATCTAGCGCAGCAAAACGGTTTCTCATCTAAGTCTATCATACCGCCTGTTTTGTGCCTAAGAAGGGTAAATATTAAATAAGGGTAAGAATGACAGACAGCAATAGGTAAAACAGCCTCCCAGACGGAAAAGGACAAAATAGTAACGCAATGCCGGAACGTATATCAAGACTTGGAGCTCACGGGCCCGTCTTTCTGATCTAAAGAAACGAGACGCCAAACACCTAGTCCACACAAGACGCACCGAAATTTCTCACCAGGTCCCCGAAGCCCGAAGTGCGGAGGAACAAAGTGGTAGAACAACCAACAACCAACAAATCAACGGCAAAAAATTGCAAAGATATGCAGACGAGAACCTTCACGACATAATCAGCAAATTTCCCACTCATCACAAACTCTCAATAGCCTTCCTCAACACCTCCAGCCCCCTTTCTCCAACTTCATCGGTGTCTTCCTCACTGCTGACTTCCTTCAGTGCCCAGGCAACATCACTCCACCAGCCCAGGCCGACCAACCCGCCACCTTTCCTTCTCTCGACACTCTCCTTTAGTCGACTGGTATGTTCCCACTGTCTCGCGGCAGCATCTGCTCGCTCAACCACCTTACTTGGGATCCCGCACATGGACGCGCAATGCATACCAAAGCTGCCTTCTGCCACACCTTCTTCTAGTTTATAAAGGAAGGTAACACGTCTGTTCTCCTCATCGACGTGGATCTGCATACGTCGAGGACCAATCTCAGGGTGTCCATCAAACTCAGCTGCAAGAGAGTGGTAGTGAGTGGCGAAGAAGCCAAGTGCGCCGATGTGGGTCGCAACGTGATGGAGGACAGCTTGGGCTACTGCAACACCGTCATAGGAGCTGGTACCACGGCCTAGTTCGTCTAGGATGACCAAAGAGCGTGGAGTTGCCTCTGAGAGGATTTTCTTGGTCTCGGAGAGTTCGACGAAGAATGTTGACTGGGCTGCGAAGATGTTGTCGTTGGCACCTAGACGGGACATGATGCGGTCGGTTGGGGTGAGACGGGCTGATCGGCAGGGGATGTGGCATCCCATTTGAGCCATGATAACGGCGACGCAAGTCTATGAATTTACTGTTAGCATAATAAATGGGACAAGGGGGTTAAGGAAACTTACCATTCTGAGTATAGTCGACTTGCCAGCCGCATTCGCTCCTGTAAGCAAATTAATGTTTGGAGCATCGCCACCTAAATTCACATCATTGGGAATAAAATCTCCGGAGTTGGGAAGCATGCAAGGGTGACGAAGCTCCTCAAATTCAAGGACACTCCGCTCATCATCGACAAACACTGGTCGACAGCTTGGCTGTCCCAAACTCGACGACGCCTTTGCAAGACTGATCAAACAGTCGAGCTGTGCAATGATCTTTGTCGAACCTAACCACACCTTATAATTCTCGTCAAATCGCGCATGGAATCGACCAGCGACTTCCTTAACGATCTGGCTATGAGTTTCTTGCGCCTCTTGGAGCTTGCGGATGAGAGTTCGAAGTTCGGGGAAATAGTATCGCTTGACTTGCTTCGTCGCCGACATCTGGTCCCAGTGTTTCGGGATATTCTTGACCTTAATGGGAACTTCGAGCTGGTAGATTTCCTTCCCATTGTCCTTGTACACAATAGCTGTGGAGCCAAGGTCCCTTCTCGCTTTCTTAAGGAGGCTGTCTAAATCGTGGCGAATCTCTTGAATGGTGTCCTGGGAGGCATCGAAATCCTCTTCGACACCAGGCTCAGGAACAAGGATGCCATTATCCTTTGCCTTGGTGCGATCGAATGCGGTCTTCCAATACTCAAGTAGTCTGCCCAAATCAGGCATAGATGCAATCAGTTGCCCAATTACCCCATCTCCCGAACCCAATTCTTTGAGAAGCCCAACGGTATAATCGATCTGCTCAAATCCTTCAAGAACTCGAAGGAAATCTTGAGCTTTGCAATTACCAGCGTGGATGCGAGAGATTAATCTCTCAAGATCGGGCATTTTTGTGAGCTGCGAAGAGAACCGGTCACGAATGCTAGTATCGGCATTAAGTGCATCAACTGCATCTAGACGAGCATTGATCTTCTTCGTGTCCATCAAAGGGTGGCAAGCCCACTGCTTAAACATCCGCTTCCCGAACGGCGTAATGCAGCGATTAAGAAGTTGGAACAGTGTTCCATCTTGCCCACCGTCGAATGAGTTTGTGAAGATCTCGAGATTGATCAGGGTTTGTCCATCTAGCACCAGACTTGATGCCTTCTTGATAGGATCGTACCACGTGAAATTGCCAATCGTCACGAGATCACGATCGATCTTCAGCAGTCTGAGGTACTGGATGAGGGCTCCGAATGAAGACATTAGGAACTCCTTCTCTCGAGCTTCTCGGAGGACCTGAGGCCATGCTTCAACATCGTCTTGATTGTCACTGATAAAGTATCCACTGGCATCCATTTCCTTGACAGTGATATCCGCAGGCCAGAATTCTTTCCCTGGTTTTAGGTAGTTCCAGATCGTGGTAGGGCCGGTATTGTTTTTTAGGATCCGCAAAGCCTTCACAGACATGGTTGATTTCTCCACCAACAACTCCTGAGGCCTTGTCTGGGCGACAAAAGTCTCGAATTTGGTCATGTCAACATCATCAGTGAACTCTGTCACAAAGAACTGGCCAGTCGCGGTGTCGACAAATGAGATGCCGAACGTCGGTAGGTCATCCACCAATGCCTCCTTGATGGCAACGCAGTAGGTTGACATGTCATCCTGAAGCATTGACCCATCCACAAGGGTGCCAGCCGTAAGAACGCAGGCAAGTTCACGCTTTATGATTTTATCTTCCTTGCCAGGCTTTGCCCCGGGTTTTGCGCCGTTCTTGCCGCCCCTCTCTCGCATCTCCTTACTCAACGCAGATTCCGACTGGTCGACACGAGCAATCTTGAACCCCTTCGCAACAAACTGGTTTGCCCAGTGGTTCAAGCTCATCTCGGGGACGCCAACCATGCGCATATTTACTCTATCGGTGAGCTTTAGATCGAAAAGTTGGTGCCCGATAGTGGCATCATTTTCATAGAGTTCGTAGAATTTACCCTTCTTGAAGAAAACGACGGTGTCCCAGAATTTTTGTTTAATCTCCCAGTACTGTTTCTCGAATGGGGAGAACTTGGACCAGGCAAGGGGTGGGATGTAAATTGTCCGGGGATCGTAGTCAGGGTGCCCCGGCGGGTTCCGGTCAATATCAGTGATTGTAGCGAGCCAGGGGTACCGCTGTTCTGGTTCTGTCATATGGGCTTTTTCCTTGCGACCCTCCCCTGATTTCTTTGATACTGGCACGGCGGGCTTTTGCTCTCGTGGTGTGGTATCATCGGGGTCGTATGCCCATTTCTGAGTAGTTCCGCTCGTGGCGTCCGGAAGCTCGAGGTCTGCTACATCATCTGGGGGAGGGAGCGCGGGGGATGATCGTGACCGAGGGGCTGCGGACGGTCTCTTGCGTTTCTTTGTCGGCTTGACTTCTTCATCTGAATCGTCTGGAGCGATAAAATCATCCATTTCTGGAAGATGTTAGCCATTTATCGCCATATAGATGTGGTAAGTCTTGGACTCCCTCACCATCGTCTGAATAACCCTCGGCCTCATTCTGCTCAAACGCGTCCTCATCGTCGGGGCTACTCGCGATTCTCTTTGCTCTCTTCGCTGCTCGGCCTCGACTGCGACTAGTGGGTGCGAAGATCTTATCGTCATCATCTTCTCCCTCATCATCGGATTCCGCGTAGCTGATCGTAGCTTTTTTGGCCTATAAAGGAACAACCATTAGCGTTCTCCCTCGACAAGCCCAATTTCGCAGTTCACCGCAAGACTCACCCGACGGGATGGAGTTGTAGAGCCATTTGCAGTCGGAGTAACTGGTGTAGGCAATCCTTCATCTCCAGACTCCTCGTCCCTTCTCCTTGTGCTCTTATTTGGTTTGACGCCAGCCCTAACCTCCTCGTTCTCTTCCTCGACAACATCACTACTGGGAGCTGGAGTCAAATCCGAGTCTGGTTCCCGATTATTTGTTCCTTTGCTCCCCTTCATCGCTGATCTCACTGTTTTCGATGAAGAAGCAGACATGCCAGATCGGAGCTGTGACGCCCTCTGGGCGGGTGAAGATACCGGTTCGGCATTGTTGCGTTGTGCATTCGCGGGAGAAGGCGTCGATGGGGACTTCGACTGGAAAAACCCCAGAATTGACCGTTGGTTCTTCATATTCTGGGTGCTTGCGGTGGATTTTTTCAAAGCTGAAGAAGCTGCTGGTGTGGACGCATTGGGTGGGGAGGAGGCAGCGCCGTTCCTTGGTGGCATTGTGATTTTTGGGTATACGATCGAAATATTGAAAACATGGAAATGCGAAGAGTAAAGATCGTGATGTTCTTTGTTATTCACCCCATGGAATTGGTGGTCAAAGGTTGTGCTTTTGACCCTGAATGTTGGAGAGAAATTGTCCGAGACGTGATGCTCGTCGCGTTGAAGTGATTGACATGAAAGGGTTTAGCGCGTCCGACGCGTTCAGTGAATTCAATTCTCCAGTCACCAGCACAGGGGTAGAGGAGAGGTAAGGGACATAACCAGGAGAGTCATAACGCTGAATTAAAAGGCCAGAAATAATCTTTCTCTAACTAGGTGATTGATACTGGGAGAATCTCCGTTGGACGTGC